TTGTCTGTGGCGTCAAGAGTTAGGAGGGCGTCGGGCAGCAGCGACCACTACAGGCGCACACGGATCTACCAGCTCTTCGAAGCAAAAAAGCCTCATATGGATGGCAAAGGTTAGGAACAGGCAACTAACTACATGTGGTTGTCGCCAGGCTTGTGGCTGGTTGTAGGAGGGCAGAATAAGCCTGTAACAGCGTAGCCTGCGCTTTTTAACACAAATCCTACCATTGATTTCATATATACGTATATTTTGATCGTCTTAGTCCACTCAGGCTACGATAAAGTCGGATTTACTGAAGAACGATCAGTCAGTCTTTACTTTACTGTTTAAACTAATCACACAATACTATTTTTAGTAAGCGGCCGCGGAAAAACTTTCCCTGCGTTTGACTTCAAGCACATGACTAGGGTCTGGTTTTCACACTGCAAAAGTTAGAACGCGCCACAATTTTGCGCTTTAACCGTTTTTTTTTATTGCACACATGTACAGGACACACCTGATCACCATTCAAATGTATTGTGTTGACTAATAGAACGACGTGCTTTCCTAAAGTGCATTTTTTACCTCCGATTTTCTTTGTGTTTGGCAAGTTCTACATGTGGTTTGAAACTTCTTATCTGTATTAAAAGGCTTATGTTGTCATATTCCTGTAGAATTTAATATCTCCTAGTTTTTAGGCCTAAATAGTGTTCGAAGGTTCTCGTTGTCGGCGAATGCAATGCCAGCTACTTGGTCTGAAATTTGTCGGGAATGTTAGCGATCTGAAAGGGCCAGAGCTACAGGTGAATGTGCGCAGATATCCCCAGTTGGGCTATTAAATTGACGTGAATGGGTCGATCCGTATGAGGTGGGGTTTTACCGCCCTGCAAAGCCAGCTGATATTGACGGTATTATCGTTTATTGTAATTGCTTCATTTAAATTACACTGAGGTTGTATGGAGCTTTCGCTCATATTGGCCAATTTTTCTCGAGCATTTCATAATGAAGATCCTTCTCGGGTCGAGGCGTTGTTTGCTGATGACAGTTTGCCCACTTCAAACTTTCCGTTATATTAGCGTAGGAGCACCAGTGCGCATGGCCAGCAGCTATGCGAACTGTGTATTTGTGCCCACGGGTGCCTTTGTGTGGCACAAGCAAATCGGTAGCAATAATTAGGCCCGGAGGCCTGGTTTTCAACAAAACACGATATGCACGCTGCAGGATTTACCGCTTTTCCTATTAAGGACTGATCGACGATGGTGTGGCGATGTCAGCCCAATCTATGTACCTAGCTGGCTTGCGCATAGTCCTGCAGGAACTATCTTTCCTCAGAAGTGGATTCCCTCGAGACGTCTATAACAGGACGCAGTTATCTAAATCGCATGAATGAAAAAATTTAAGATGGCCGCCAGTTGTCAAATAAGTTAACAGCTTTAGTGAACCACTGTGTTATTCCCTTCGTGGGCACCAGAGAATGAAGATTTTTAAATATTCTTCTGATTGCCCTCTTAGAAATTCCCTTCGTTATAGTGATATAAGCTTGTATCTTGCCTCTAACTAATTTTCGTTTAAGCAGTTGGATACTGACGAGAATTTCGGATTAATATACTTGACTATTAGCCTGACCGAGATCAGAATTATGTTAAGTGTCTGATCTGGATTAATTTCGTCTTCTACTAACGCGGAGGAAGCACCTTAGCCTTGATCAGTCAACATTCAATCGGCAATTTGCATAACTTGTGAACCTCGAATGGAGCGAACGATAAAACCCGTTTTCTAAGTGAACATTAGGACAAAAAATGCGCATTCCGTTAAATGTCACTTCTACAACCCTACTACGCGAAAAAGACTCCAACTGCTCTGAAAAAATGTGATTTTTACATGTTAACACGGATGCGACAGTGCAACATCCACAAGCAACGACGTCCGCCGCATGCTCCTGAGTAGTCGCGTCGCTGGTGGCCCATGTAGAAGGGAGGTTATGGTGCAGTGGACTTGCACAGCATCTCCCTCCACCCCACCTGGCCAGGCGGTCCGACTACGCCTGTCACGCGGGACATCTTCCAAACTGCCCGCAGTTAGGACCTCACAGGAGTGACGGCACAATTAACGCAACATTTAGGAGGAGCCGAGGCAGTCTGATTGGCAGTCCTCCAATCATTGGTGTGGTAGACCTTGGCCGCCATGAAGCGGGTGAGAACACGACAAAGACGACACGTACGACGTCTTGGCGTGTTCAAGCGCGTCAAAATCGTTACAATTAGAAATGCCTCAGTGTCGGTCTCACTTCCTCGTTCCTCTCCTACGTACCAATTAACCGTCCGAGTCTGTCAAATAGCGCGGTGACTAATAAGG